AGGTGAGAAGGGTGGTGTTAGGCCACCACAGGCGGCAGTGCAGGGGGGCCTGAGGGCAGCCCAGGGGGACCTCTGGCTCCTCCCTACACTGCCCGTGTTGGCTTAATAGGTGGTAAGGAAACAGAAGGGCCCTGGATCACTCCTGGGTTTTGGGCTCTGGCTGTATGTGGAGGCAAGATAGCTAAAATAAGAGAAATATCTCTTAAAAGATTTATTTATGTATGTATACAGAAATGGGGAGTAGGGGTGGTGAGAGGATTCGCCAAAGACAGAGTGGGGAGCAGAACAAGCAGATGGACAAAGTACACTGCTGAGGAGAGCAGTGGGCGAGACCGGAGAGTCTGCGGCGCCATGTGGGTCAGCTCCCTGGCCGGGGAACAAACTAGTGCTGAAGCGGCTGCTGCTAACTTCCCAGCGCTGCACTTCAACCTGTTGCGGCACCAGGGAAGGCCCAAGAGAAATATCTTAAAATAGATTACCACTGTAATAGATTCAACAAAAACTGTTAGAAAATATAGAAATATCATTTAAATAAATATATAAAGCCTAAGTAAATATTTAAAAAATGTGTTGATGTTAATATGGAGAAAAAATAGAATTTTTTAAAGATTAATTTATGCATACAGGAACTGGGAACTGGGATACAGGCCAGAGGTGCGGGGGGTTGGGGGGAGGGTGAGAGGATTCACCTGAGATACTGGGGAGAGGAACCGGCAGACCTACTGAAATACACTGCTGAGGGGAGTAGCGGATGGGACAGGAGAGGTCTGTCACGCCAGGTGGTTCAACCTCCTTGCCACGGGTGCTGCAGTGGCTGCAGATTGCTTCACAGTGCTGTGTTTAACCTGCTGTGCCACCTGGGAGGGCCCGGAAAAAATAGTTTTATTGAAAAATTTTAAAGAAATCCTAATCTGGCAGGGAGAAATGCCATGTAAATGGACAAGAAACCTTGTGATGATCGCAAAAGTGATGTTTCGCAATGACTTCACTTCTGCCTGAAAATACCCTCCAAGTCAGGGCTGTGATTCAATCCCTGCCGTGTGATATGGACTCTGGTTTGGGTGGAGAAAAGGGCTGGAGTGAGCCCCTAGGAGGCCTGTACCACTTCACCAGGAGAATGTTTCACTGGTCCAGGAGTTTTGCCCAATTCTGCCCTTCAGCATGTTTTAGTTTCCTTATTTACAAATAGAGATAATAACAATGATTCTTGTGAAGACTAAATGAATTAATACATTGAAGACACTTAAAATAGAAGTTGGCACACCATAAAGTACTGTGTAAGAATTCGTTATTGCTACCACTATTATTATTAATGTTACTAACGTTAGGTTCATTTTACAGGTTCACAATGGCTCAACCAGGCAGTGGGAATACAGAGGAGAGGGTCTGAAACTAAATTCTAGGGGCCTCATGAATTAAATCTGGAAGTTGGATGTTAGCCATGGAGACACAGGGAGCGACACTCACCAGAACAACAGTGCTCATTCACTTCCACATGAATTGAGGTTTACAGCTACAAATGGCTTCCATGTTTGTTTTCTCAGCAAAACTTCATCCGGTGGTGAGTATAGTAGCCCATTTTGAAGATTTTGAACCTAGGACCTAGAGCTGTCAGATAACTGACTCCATGGAGGCAAGCTGATGCTGGTCTGGTCACCAGTGTGTCTCTAGCATCAGAGCAGTCTTGGCAGAAAACACAGAGCCTCAATCTTTACTAGTTGATGAATGACTAGGTCAAGTGGGTCTTTGGCTGCTGAGCATGGCAGTTGTAATGTCTCTTGTGCTAGGTGCCATGAGGACGCAGAATCAAATCGGGGTCCCTGAACATGAGGCTCTCTGAGTTCCATGGGTTGATAAGTTATGTATAAATTTCTTCACTTGAAGCGCTGTATTCCTTGAAGGACAGATGCTCTGGAAAGTAATTCAAACCCACTGCAAACATAAACCTGTGCTGTATAAAATCACTGAGATCTGGGAGATGCTTGTTATGTAGCATCGCGTAGTCTTAGCCCTGCCAATCTGATATAGCAGGCTTCCCAGATTTGATGGAAAGTAAAAATTGCCAGAATTGTTAGATAACTTTTGATAAATTCTTGGGATCTGATCCAAATTCTCTAAATCAGAATTTTCTGGGAAGAGGGTTAGTATCTACATTTTGGAGGCTTCAGGAGGATCAACCAGCTGAACCATGAAGGTAAGACGGGAGCTGGGCTTGAGACGCGAAGGGAAAGTGTTTTCCAGGAAAAGCATGGAGGTGGGAAATAGCTTGGGACAGCAGTCAGGACACCTGAGGGTGGTGGCATGTGCTCTGGGGGGATCAGGTTAGGTAACCTGGGCGTTATCTCATGACCAGTGGAGAAACTGGGAAGCTTTCTGAGCAGTTTGTCCTGGTTGTGTATATGCTTTCGAAAGGCCATCCAGGCGGAGAGACTGTGCTGAGAGAGACCATCCAGGCAGAGAGACCAGGCTGACGCATGGTCCTATGTGCCAAGGGCCACGGCACCACTGGAGAATCAACAATGAACAAAACAAACAAAACTGCAAGGCATCCTAGAGTTTATGTTCACGGTCTTTATTTCTGGGTGAGAGTGTGTGAGAATATGCCATTCACTCTCATTTACTCGGTCTGATTTGTAGTGAACGCCTGCTTTCTGCCTGACCTGGTGCTGGTCGCGAGGGGCAGACATGAGTCAGGCCCCACCTGGTCTCATGAGAAAGCCCACACTTTGAGAGCTTGTCTGCTTGGACTGGGCCTTGAAACGAGAAGTGTGATTACCAAGAAGGAGCCGGTGAGCCAGCAGAGGCAACCTCATGGCCGAAGACCCCAGGGCGTTTGGGGCCTAAGGTCCTTGGGATGGAGAAGTCCTGGGGCTTGTGGCTCACGGAGGGGAGTGACAGGACAGATGAGGTGATGGTGTTGGGAACCTGGGAGGCCGTGGGGACATTGGGGTTGTTGGTCCAGGGGATCGATGTTACCTTCCGGATTTAATCACACCAGCAGCTGGGGAGAATGAGGAACATGAACATCCATGTGGAGACCAGAGACGAGGCTGTTCTGATGCAGGTGCAGGTAAGAGCTGGCAAGGACATAAGTGAACCTAGAGGGGCAGGATGAAGGGACCCAGGAGACAATTCTGGATATGACAGTTGAGGAGGAGCTCTAAAACTGGTTTTAAAGAATGGACTTTGTAATCAAAAGATGCAAGTGAACGTCTCAGCCCTGCCCTTGACTAACACTGTGAACTTGAATTCTTTATTTAACCATTCTAAACCTCAGTTTCCTTATGTGACATACTAGCAGCGACTGCTCTGAGGTTGGGAGGATTATGGGAATTATTCAGCATAGCCCTGGGACACAATGGCTGTCCCATTGGGCGAGGGACCCAAGGACAGCTCTCTGTCTGCTTTGAGTGACCATGGAGATGTGGTCTCTGGGAGGACACCAGATAAGGAGCTTTGAGGAAGGTGAGGTCACCCCGTGGAGCCTCACTGCTCGTGTTTTTGGTCTCTGCGTTCTTGGTGCCCAGCTCAATCTCAGGCACCGACCAGGGACTGTCTATGAGAAGCAGAATCTGGCGTGTAAGTATAGATGGAGGGATTGTAGGCATGTAGGCGCAGCTGAACTTAGGGAGTGGAGAGGGGAGAGAAAATAGACAAGAGAACCTGGGAGGTGAACCAGGGGATCCAGATGTTGAGGGTATGTGGGAGAAGGGAGGCATCTGGGAGGAGGCTGGGAAACACCATCCAGAGTTGGCCAGAGTGGGCAGGACAGGAGGCAGGGTGAAGTCAAGGAGGAGAGGAGGATTTTGAGAGAGGTCACTAGGTGGGGGTGGGGAGGTAGATGTGACTGAAAGATCATGGATAGACCTGGTTAATGCATTTGACATCAAGGAGGTCACTGGGTACCTGGCAAAAACAGATTCAAGGCCTATTCGCGGGCTTAAGCCCCCTTGCAGGGGTGGAGGAATTGATGTTAAGACATGGGGCTAGGGATAGGAGAGGTGGGCATTAAGGAGAGGGATGCAGGTTTCCAGGAGTCTTTTCCCAGTAAGAATGAAGCTTGATTTTAAAGATCAGAGTCATCTACAGGTAGGCCTGGAGGCCTGGGAGGTGGTGAGCTCGCTGTGGCTGGAGGAGGCCAAGACAGCCCTGAGCGTGCCCCATGCTCAGACTCTGGCTCAGAGTGGGAAGGCTGTGCAAAAAAAAAAAAAAGCCCCACGTCCTCTCAGCCAGACTTGGCTGATTCCCTGCATCACAAAAGCCACCTAGAGGGTCAGTCATGCTATTTCTAGTGTCCAAAGAGCCTCCTAGGGACAGGACACACACACACACACACACACACACACTCTCCACAAAGAGGTGGTCGGGCACAGCTCACAGACTTCAGCCACAAAACCCAAATCATCTGTACCTCCCAGTGTAGGGCTGCAGGGCACCTCTCTCCAGGTTATTCCCTGAAGTCACCCCCTTATTGCCGGTCCTCACTCTCCCCCTCCCCACCCTTCCCCCAGCCTCACTGGGCTTCTCCCCGCAGCTCCGGTCTCTGTCCATCTCGCCCGGCTTCTGGGCGCTGCTCTTCCCCACCCCCGCCTGGGCCGCACTAGTCTCCCATCCCCGGGGTCCCCCGCTCCCCCGGACTACAACCCCCAGGCGCCCCCAGCCCCGGGC